CCTGGGCCTGCTCAGGGATGAGAGTGATCCCCAGTGCCTGGGCCTGCTGAGGGGTGAGAGTGATCCCCTTGGCCTGTGCCTGCCGAGGGGTGAGAGTGATCCCCGTGGCCTGGGCCTGCTCAGGGGTGAGGGTGATCCCCTKTGTGTGGGCCTGCTGAGAGGTGAGAGTGATCCTTTGTGCTTGGGCCTGTTTAGGGGTGAGAATGATCCCCTGGATCTGGGCCTGCTCTCGAGTCAGAGTGATGCCCAGTGCCAGTGCCTGCTCAGAGGTGAGAGTGATCCCTTGGGCTTGGGCTTGCTCAGGGGTGAGAGTTATCCCTAGTGCCTGTGCTTGCTCAGGACTGAGAGTGATGTACTCTGTGAGAGACTCTTCAGAAGCAGGAAGGGTGCTGGTTAGGGAGGACCGTGTTGAAGTGGGAGGAGTGACTGGTATGGGACTCTGTCCTGCAGGAAGACTCTCTACTGTCTCAAGATTCTTTTGGATCTTTTGTTCTTCATATAGCTGAGATTCTTGTTTCAATGTTCTCCTCCTCCTGGAATATGTCACTGGTCTTTGGATGGCCATTTCTGTTGGTTCTACAGATTTTTTCTTCTCAGTCTTATCCTTTTCTTTGAACTGCCTCTGCCTTTTGAAGTCTTCTGTCCCTCTGCTCTGCTTCTTGTCTTTCTCCCCTGTAATTACCAGATCTTGAATCTGCCCCATCATCTCTTCACTCTTCTTCTCCAAGGGCACCGTTCGCTCTTTCATCGTTTTCTTCCATGCTTCCGACTGCTGCTGTTTGGATTGCTGCTGCACTTCTTTGTCCCTTTTCCTTTGATTTGCTTTCCCATCTTGCTCAATCCTCTTTTGAGTCCTCTGTTTTTTTCGTTCTTTCCCTACCTCTTCTTCCTGTTTCRGCTTCTGCAGCTCATACATGCTGGATATTCTTTCTTGATCTTCTGGCAAATATTCCTTCTGCTTCTTTTTTTCTTTCTCCTTGTAGTCTTCTCCTTCCAAGATTGTTGGAACATCTCTTTCTAATTCAGTCAATATCATTTGTATTAAATTGTTAATTATTGGGTCTGTGCTCTCATTTTCAAGAATTGAGCTAATTTCAGGTTTTGACTTCTGAAAATCTGGCATAAATGAGACAATCTTTTTTTGTTTCAAAGATTTCTCTTCAACTTGTCCTTTAGTTTTTATATTTTTGTATTTCCTCAAGATTTTAATCACAGTTTCAGCCACTTTTTGGAAATATTCCTCTGTTTTTGCCTTTATAACTCCTAACTTTTCAACTTCTTCTTTTTTTAATAATTTCTCCTCCTTTAGCAYACTCTCTGTACGAAAAGACTTTCCTATGTTATCAATTTTCTCTTTTAGGAAAGCCAGTATGGCTTTTTGAAATAATTCTAGATTATCCTGTTCGCTTTTGCCATCTGGACTTCCTAAATCCTCTTTAGCCATCTTGACCTTTGAGTGTGATCTAACAAGTAGTTGAGCCTGGGTTTGTTTGATAAAGGATAACAGTTCTTTCTCTTCTATTATTCCTTCTTTGCTTGTGGTCCGTCCTGGAAGGATTTGGTGTTTCTTTCCCTTTTTTTCAACTTTCTGGGGCTCAGAGGTGAAATCACTCTTAAACTGGATTGCCTCTGTTGATCTACTCATTTTGCTTTTGATCTCTTTGCCCACTGACTCACTAGAGGAGTATGATTTTATCTCTGAGGCAATTGGGCCTTTTTCAAGTTCTTGTTCAGGTCTGACCTTTCTGAATTGTTCCCCTGTACTCCTTGTTCCACTTCTGTCACCTTGGCTATTTGTTTCAGTAGAAGAGAAATGTTTGCTTTTTGTTTCAACAGAYGGCTTTGATTTGCCTTGAGAAAAGGATTTTCTTTCTTTTTTCTTTTTTTCCAGTGCTTCTAGCTCAAATCGTTGACGAAGTTTGTCCTCTGAGACTTTCTGTTCACCTTTACCATCAATCAGATTTATTTCAGAGGCCTCATGTGAATACCTTCTTTTCTGTGATTCATGATAGTCAGTTTCATCTTTTTGATGGTCATCACCTTTCTTCAGTGATATATCATCTCCAGTAGTATCTTCATCAGGCTGTTCACTTAGCTCTGGGGTTGCTTCAGCTTGGGCTGTATGTGAAAGAGCTGCCTCCCACTTTTTCCCAGTGCCTTTGGTTCCTTTTCTTTGGGATTCATCTAAAATATTTTCAAATTCTTTGCTTAAAATACTGTCCACAGTGTCCTCTATGTCATCAGCTTTGGTCGTGGATGACTGTTCAGATAATACTTTTAAGGTTGAAGATGTGGACAATGATGTGTACAGTTGTTGTCCAATAATAGCTTTGGATTTAATAAGTTGTTCAAATTTTTCTTCTATATCTTTAAGTCTCTGCTGAAGCATTTCATTTTGTTCACTGAGACTGTATATTATTTTCTGAGAGCGCTCTTTTTCTGCTTCTCTTGTTTCATTTTCGTATATACTGCCAACTGGGAAGTCAATAGCAGCCTTTAAATTGTCACTTAGTATACACAAGGCTTTAGAAAGGTTGACTATTGTTGATGATATATATTTAATAGCACTGTTTTCCAATTTATTGAACATTGTTGTGCCTATGAGTTCCTGTAGCATATCTTGAATTTCTGAAACCTTCGTATTTGTTGCAAATTGATCGCTAATCATCTGATCTGGTTTTAAGGCATGGGCTGTGGCAGGTCGTTTTACAACTCTGTCTTTCCAAGATTTCCACAGAGTACTTCTAGATTCTGGAAGAATAAATACAACACAAAACAATGAAATTGCATTTCTCCTTTAAATATGCTCTATTAATGTTTAAGCTTAAAGAATTTAGCCTAAATTGTTTCAGGRTTGTGGCTCAGTGGTAATTAAAAAAATAATTTAGCCTAAATTAATGGACAATGATAGGATAAATATTCCTCAGAAAGCGTTAGCTCCAAAATACAGCAGTATTGTTTCAGAAAGATTTTTTTTTCCACAATCACCTAGAAATTCTACTTCCAGGGTGTGGAATATTAATTCTGTTGTGACCTCAACTTACTTTCAGTTACAACTTTGGTAGATAAAATATAAACTGAAACTTTTTTCTGGCTTTGGTTATGCTTAGTTCTTTTWTCTTTCTGTCTTTTATTTTTTATTTTTTTGGTGGTCCTAGGAGATTGGAGCCAGGGGTGCTCTATTACTGATATACACCCCCAGTCCAGAAGTGAGAGTGATCCCTTGTGATTGAATTTGTAATCTTCTTGCATTCAGCTTCCCAAGTTGTCRGTATTCCAGGAGTGTGCCACCTCACCAGGCAGAACTAGTAGCAAGTTCTGTTGTTACAGGGCTGGAGTCTTCTGGGAAACTGAGGCAAACTCCCCATTCATACTAATTTTTGCACTCAAGTCMGGAAGATTTCATACATGTCACTCAGAGTAGAAGGGATGGGAAAGGAGAAAAGGGGACACTCTCAAGGAAGAGTATGGGTATTCTCAGAGAGGAGAGGGACTCCATTTTCTTTCTTGGGTTCTGTCTTTATTTTACCTTTTCTGAATCAAAGCTAACTTTGTTTCTTTTTTTTTTTTAGTTGTAGATGAACACAATTTATTTATTTATTTTTATGTAGTGCTGGGGATTGAACCCAGTGCTTCACGCATGATAGGCAAGTGCTCTACCACTGAGTCACATCCCCAGGCCCCTAACTTTAATTCTTTCAAAGGGCCATAAATCAACTGACAAACATTGAAGGAATTTCCAGAATGACTCAGTGATAAACTCAACAAAAATTTTCCCCTAAAAGCCATGATAAAACTGGACAAAGGTGTAAAAACAATCATTTTTGGACTTTATAAATTGACCAAAGATATACAACAAATTGAGATGCATTTATTTAAGAAAAAAAAAAGTGGTGGTTTGGTAACCTGGAGCTGCTTCCATCCCCAACCACCCCAACCCCAGATCCATGACCTCAAGTTCTACCAGAGTCAGGCCTACTGTGAGGACCAACAGCTCTACTGTCTAAGGGGATGACTTGATTTGGAGCTAAGGATCAGGTGGGAACAACGGCGGGTGATTGTCAAACAATCCCTAAACTATACACAAATTTATTTGCAGAGAAGAGGGCTTATTGGATCAGTGATTAGCAGATAATTTATTAACCAATAAGCTATACTGATCCAAGGATAACCATAGGAATTTGGGCTTAAAAAGACAAAGAAAGGAGCAACAAAGAAGAACTGAGGGACTGCGGCTGTAGCTCAGTGGCAGCTAGGTTCAATCCTCAGCACCACGTTAAAAAAAATAAATAAAACAAAGTTATAAAAATACATATTTAAAAATAAATAGATAAATAAATAAATAAACTGACTAGAGATGTTAGTGACTTCACATTGTGAGAGAGAGAGAGACTTCATAGAACTAGTACAGGCAAAAGTCACTAAAACATAAAACAAAGCAGCAATAACAAACCCTGGAATGGTAGGGAGAATTAGAACCTAGAATTGCTACAATGTAATATCTAAAACACCTAGTTGTCAACATAAAAAAAAAAGGAAAAGAAAATGCAAAGAAAAAGGAAACTGTGACATGTACAAAGGGGAAAAAAAAGGGTCAATTAAAATTGTCTCTGAGAGGGCCCAGATGCTGGACTTACCACAAAAAAAAAAAAAAAAAGACTTCAGAAAAAGCAATTATAAATTTATGCAAAGAGTTTAGGAAACCATATTTAAAATAAAAGGAAAATGTGGTGATAATTCTCATCAAATAGAGCATATCAATAAAGATATGGATTTCTCAGTGGCACACATCTATAATCCCAGCAACTCAGGAGGCTGAGGCAGGAGGATTTCAATTTTGAGGCTATTGAGACTCTATCCCCCCMAAAAAATAAAAAGGCCTCTTTTGTAGCTCAGTAGTAAAGCACCCCAGGTTCAATCCCCAGTACCGCAAAAATAAATAAATGAAAATTTGAAAACCAAGTGAAAAATTTGGAGTTAAAAAGTATACTATTGGGGCTGGGGCTGGGGCTCAGCAGTAGCACACTTGCCTGGCATGTGTGAGGCACTGGGTTAGATTCTCAGCACCACATATAAATAAATTAAATAAAGGTATTGTTTAAAAAATAAAATCTACACAATTAACTGGGCATGGTGGTACATACCTGTAATTCCAGCGACTCATGAGGCTGAGATGGGAGGATCACAAGTTCAACCTTAGCAACTTAGCAAGCTCTTGCTAAGTCTCAAAATTAAAAATAAAAAGGGCTGGGGATATAGCTCAGTGATAAAATGCCCCTGGGGTTCAATCCCCCACCCCCAAAAAAGTACATAACTAAAATGAAAAATCACCAGAACACCTCAAAAGCATATTTGAGCTGACAGAAGAAAAAATATGCAGCAAATATAATGCTGGACTAATTGAGATAATCCAATATGAAAGGCAGAGAAGAAAAAGAATGAAGTGACCAAAGCCACAGGGACTTGTGGGACACTGTCTATTCAGGTTGCTATTAAAAATATATTACAAACTGGGTAGCTTATAACAACAGAAATGTATTTCTCAAAGTTCTGGAGGCCCGGAAGTCCATGCTCAAGTTAAGAGTTGGTGTCTGTTAACAGCCTACTTYCTTATAGACAACTGCATTTTCACAACAACTTCACATGGTAAAAGAGGTAAAGGATCTCTCCTGAGCCTCTTTTGTAGGTTACTAATCCCATTCACAACCCTCTGACTCAGTCACTACCAAAGGCCCCACCTTCTACTACTATCATCTTGGGGGTTAAATTCCAGTGTAAGAATTTTGGAGGGACACAAATATTCAGACTATAGGGGTAACCATCAAGCATACCAATGTACAAGTAACAGAAGTTCCAGAAGAAGAGGAGAGGAAAGTCACAGAAAATAATTTTAAAAATTAAAAAGACAAAATCATCTCACAGTTGATGAAAAATATTTAATCTCCTAATTCAAGAAGCTCAGTGAACTCCTAAATAGGCTAACATATCTACATACCTCATACTCAAACTGTTGAAAGTCAAAGAGAAAATATTTAAACCAGAAAGAGAAAATATTACTTATTCCCATCAAGGGAGTCATATGAACTACAAAAGAACCACAGTAAATTTAGCAACTCACTTTTTATCAGACATAGTGGAGGCCAAAAGGCAGTAGAGTGACATGTTCAAAATGATGAAAGAAAAAGACTTAGCCAAGAATTCTACAGCTAGCAAAACTATTCTTCAAATAATGAAAATAAGAGCSAGGTGTGATGGTACATGTCTGGAACCCTGCATCCCAGCAACTCAGAAGGCTGAGGAAGGAGGATTACAAGTTTGAGGCCAGCCACAGTAACTTAGCCAGACTCTATCTCAAAATAAAAAGGGCTGGGACTATAATTCAGTGATAGAGCATCTCTGGGTTCAATCCCTAGTAACACATAGATACACGTACACACATAATAATAAKAAKAAGAAGAAGAAGAAACAAGATATACAGACGATATAATAAACATATGGAAAGATGTTCAACATCATGTTAAATTGCAAATTACAAAGAAAATTGGGAATTGCTTCTTGCTATAATGTGAGATGATATAATGTTTATGTGATAAGATGAAGGAAGTTGATGACTAAGCATATCATTCACTGTAACTTTTGCAGTTTGATGTATGAGAGCAAAACTAGCGTGAATTTTTTTCCTTTATCACGATTCATAGAYAGAAGATTCATTATTATATAGATCTTAGCAACCTCAGCATGTAATTATTATTCTTTCCTGACTAATTCAAGAACCTTGACCTTTTCACTTAAAGGAAAAATACTTTATAGCTTCTCTTTGGCATATCCAAATTACCCGCATCATTACTCTTGCACTTTGAGGAGGAGGAGGAGGAGGAGGAGGAGGATTAAGCAAACATGACCTAAATAGGCTCAGTATTGAGTAAAATGAGGGTTACTTTAACCTAAGCACTATGATACTGTGACTTCAGTATGATTACCAACTAGGCGACCAAGTGACTTATGGGTGGATATATAGCAGAGAGAGATAAAGGGATGAGTTACAAAAGTAACTGAAACAGCAAAGAGCAAAGCTACAGAGAAGTGGAATTACTGTATACGGCAATACCTAGAGCAAACACTAAGGAAATTACTCCAAAGGTAGAGTAAAAGAGTGGAAATAAATTGTTGTGTAAAAATTATCTGTTGAACACAGAAGGTGATAAATGAATAGAGGAACAATGTTTGGCATGGTGGTATACATCTATAATCCCAGCGTCTTAGGAGAATGAGGTAGGAAGATCAAAACTCAAAGCCAGCCTGGGCAATTTTTTTTTTTTTTTTAGAGATAGAGAGAGAATTTTTTAATATTTATTTTTTAGTTATCGGCAAACACAACATCTTTTGTTTTGTATGTGGTGCTGAGGATCAAACCCGGGCCGCACGCATGCCAGGTGAGCGTGCTACMGCTTGAGCCACATCCCCAGCCCAGCCTGGGCAATTTAAGAAGGTCCTGTCTCAAAAACTAAAAAGGTCTGGGGATATAGCTCAGTAGTAGAACACCCCTGGATTCAATCCCCAGTACTGCAAAAAATAAAAATAAAAAAAGAATAGTCAGAAAAACAGCAAAATGGCAGACACAAATTCAACCACATCAACAATTACATTAAATATGAATGTTTTCGATATTCCAAAAATCAGAGATTATCAGATGTATTAAAAGAAAAAAGTCCCACAAAATCTAACTACAAATGACACACTTTGGGTCTAAGGACACAAAAAGGTTGAATGTTAAATGATAGAAAGTTAAATGTGGGGCTAGGGTTGTGGCTGTGTGGTAGAGCGCTTGCCTAGCGCAGGGRAGGCACAGGGATCGATCCTCAGCACAATATAAAAAAATAAAATAAAGCTGTTGTGTCCATCTACAACTAAAATATTTTTTTAAAAAAAGGAAGAAAGAAACAGGATTTAAAACAACAAGAAGAAAGTTAAATGTGCTTTGGGCATAGTAATCACCTAGAAGCTGAAGAGACTATTCTTATATGAAATGAAAAAGACTTTAAGACAAAAGAAAAATGATTGTAAAGACAAGGAACACATTTTATAACAATAAAGGGCCAATTCCTCAGGAAGCTTCCCAAATTATAAACATATATGAACATAACAACYGAGCCCCCAAATACATGAAACAAAAACTGACAAAATTAACAGGAAAAACAGGTGACTCAACAATAATAGTAGGAGAGTTCAATATCCCATTCTTAATAATGGATAGAATAGGGGCTGGGTTGTGGCTCAGCGGTAGAGTGCTCACTAGCATGTATAAGGCACTGGGTTTGATCCTCAGCCCCACATAAAAATTAAAAAATAAAGGTACTGTGTCCATCTACACCTAAAAAAATAAACAAATGATAATGAATAGAACAATTAGGAAATCAGTCAGAGAAGATTTGAACAATAATATAAACCAACTTTGGAAAACCCTGCCCCACAACAGAGTATATTTTCTTTTCAAGTACACATGGAACATTCTCCAGGAGAGACAATGTGTTAGACTAGAAAACAAGTCTCAATATTTAAAAGGGAGGGCTGGGGTTGTGGCTTAGTGGCAGAGTGCTTGCCTAGCATGCATGAGGCACTGGGTTCAATTCCCAGCACTGCACATAAATAAATAAAATAAAGACTGTTGACAGATTTAAAAAAAAAAAATTTCATATATATATATATATATAATGCAATTGCTTTGTTAAAATTGTGTATATACATACACATAATTGTTAAATTGTGTGTGTATGTGTGTGTGTGTGTGTGTATATATATATATATATATATATATATATATATAGAGAGAGAGAGAGAGAGAGAGAGAGAGAGAGAGAATTGAAATTATACAACCAAAGAAAGAGAGAGAGAGGAAGGGAGGGAGGGAAAGAAATTATAAAATTCAATAATGAATGTGGGCAAGTCCATGATTTGAACATTACACATTGTTTATGTGTGTGGAAACATCACATGGTACCCTTTAACCATGTACAATATTTATCAGTTAAAAATAAACTGTGAAAAAGGGCAAGCGTTTAAATAGACATGTCACCAAAAAAAGGTATAAGAATGGCTAATAAGCATATAAAAAGATGTTCAACATAATTAGTTGTTAAAGGAAATACAAACTATGAAATACCACTTCATATCTACTTCTAGAATGCTATAATAAAAAAAGACAGACAAGGGYTGGGGTTGTAGCTCAGTAGTAAAGCATTTCCCTAGCACATGTGAGGCACTGGGTTTGATCCTCAGCACCACATAAAAATAAATAAATGAATAAATAAAGGTATTGTGTCTATCTGCAACTAAAAATAATTTTTTAAAAAGATTGATAATAGCAAGTGTTGGGGATATAGAGAAACTCTCATACATTGCTCGTGGGAATGTTTGGAAAACAATTGAATTTACCTCATGACTCAGCCATTTTAGTCTTAGGGTATGCCTACACAAAAACTTGTTTGTGTGTTTTGGGCAGCATTATTCAAAAAAGCCATTAACAAACCAAATGTCTATCAACTGGTGAATGGAGCAACAAAATGTGCTAGGGCACATTGGCAAATGCCTATAATCCCAGTGAGGCTAAGGCAGGAGGATCCCAARTTCAAGRCCAGCCTTAGCAATTTAGCGAGGCCCTTAGCAACTCAGTGAGACCCTATCCCTAAATAAAATATAAAAAAGAGCTGGGGATGTGGCWCAGTGGTTAAGCACCCCTGGGTTCAATCCCCAGTACCAAAAAAAGAAAGAAAGAAAATGTGCTATATCCAAAAAACCATATACAAACAGCAATAGAAGAGACTATCAATAAGCCCTGAAACATGGCTTTTCAGCATTATGCTAATTGAAAGCATAAAATACCACATAYTATATGATTCTGTTCATATGAAATATCCAGGAAAAGCAAATTTATTGAGAGGGAAAGTAGATTWGTGGTTGTCTGGTGCTGTGGTTGGGACAATAGAAATGTTCTAAAATTGAATCATGGTAATCACTGCACAACTATGTATATTTACTGAAAATAATTATGCAATTATGAATTTTACAGTATGAAATTACACCTCAATAAAGGTATGTTTTCAAAAAAAGTCAAATTCTATTTCCAAAGTCACTAAAGTACCCTTACGTGTTCTAGTCTTTTGTTTCCTCCTTTCTTCAAGAAAAATTATACCCATTCTATACAGTGTCTTGACATTGTTCTCAATTGCTTTTAGCATTTCTGGTAACATCTGCATTTGTGCTATCCAGTGGTGATGTTCATCAATATCCATTGCAGTTATCTCAGACAAAATGCCACCTTGAAGAGAGTAAAAAAGGTTTTTGTTGTGCAAAAAAGATAAATAATTATAATTACATGCTCTTGTAATATTAGGTGGCTACTCTATAGTAGTACTTTGAGATATAGTTATTTTGAACYTGTTATTCTTAGCCTTTTCTCTGAAGAAATTATAAAAAACAAAACTTGGAACAGAGGATAARTAGGAAATATTGGATATAAAAATCTGAATCAGGTTATTAAGTGTCCATTTGGAGCTGGGTGTGGTGGTGCACATCTGGAATACCAGTTATTCATGAGGCTGAGTAGCCTCCTGATCACAAGTGCACAGCTGGGCAATTTAGCAAGAACTTGACTCAAAATAAAAATTTTAAAAAGGTCTGGGGATGTAGCTCAGAGGTAGAGCATCCCTGGGTTCAATCCCCAGTACCTATGGAAAAAGAAAAGTGTCTGTCTTAGCTTATTTTCCTGACTCAGGGAAGTAAGTATCTAAAACATGAATGCATTAGTTCTTAACAGCCAAATTAAAGCCTCTTTTTTTTTTTTGTATTCTTAGCTTATTCATTCTTTAATTCCATCAATGTCTGCTCTGTCATGTATTATTCAAGACTTCAAACTACTTATATTCTAGGGAAAGGAACAGATGAAAAATAAAAATGAAAATCAGTTATTTAGTATGGCAGATACTAATCTTATAAACAAAAATTAAAAAAGAAAAAGGGTAATGTAGAATGCCAGTTGGTAGGAAATGGGGATGGTCAGAGAATACCTCATTTTAAAATGATAGTTAAGCAGGGAATGAGTCATGGCTATTTGGTGGAAAATGTTCAAGRTGAGGGAATAGTTAAACATGAGGACACTGGGCAGGAGGATGCTGGTCTTTTTTAATAAAAGTAAGAAAGCCGGTTATAGTGGGACATACCTTTAATCCCATCTCTTAGCCTCTTGCGAATTCACAGACTAGCTTGGGTAATTTAATGAGATCCTGCCTTAAAATTAACTAAAATGTGCTCGGTGGTGGAGTGCTTGCCTTGCGTGATCCCAAGGCCCTGGGGTTTAACCCCCAGTACTGCCTTAAAAAAAAAAACAAAAAAACCTAAAGAATTTGGAATAGTTAGTAATAAGTGAATAAGCCTGTATTTTTCTTGTGTTGTTCTTACTGGAACAGAGGACTACCATTCTCTGAGTAATATCCTAATCTTTTCTTCTTCAGTCTAATTAATTGCTCAAATTTTACATTTCTCTTCTCTTTTTCATTAACTGTCACTTATAGAAACTTACTCCATTCTTCCAACCAGGCCAGAATGTGGGTAAGGGTTTTTTCTCTGACTTCAATACCCTTAGAATAAGAAGCCACTTTCTCCAAAACTTCGGTTCTTCTTTTTCTCTTATATTCTATGAGAGACTTCCTCCTTTCAGTTAGTGAGGTAAGATCATCAGGAGTATATCTGGTTATTATCCGTTGCACATTGTTCAGTATGTCAGTCAGCTGCATATTAATTTCCTGTAAGAATAAAAATGAGTAATACATTAATAAATTCTTAGTTTTTAAGGTAAGCTTTGATCACTTTTTTCCTAGCATGCCAGTAACAGTAAATAATAAAGCTGTCCAATTAAAGTCTTGCTAGTTTTATCTTTACTGTTGGTCTCAGATTTTCCCTTTTCAAAAAAAATTTTTTTTTCTTCTTCATCATCCTAGCAATGTTATGATATAATGGAAAGAGCATTGGATTTGAAGCCCTATTATATCCTAACTTTAATTCCTTACAAGCAATTTTTTTTAAGTACCTGGGAATGAACCCACTGAACCACAATTCCCAGTGCGTTTTATTTTTTTATTTTGAGACAGGGTCTTGTTAAGTTGCTGAGACTGCCCTGGAACTTGCAGACTCCTGAGCTGCTGGGATTACAGGTATGTGCCACTGCATCTAGCCATATTTGATTATTTTATCAGAAAACTTTTAAGTATATTTGGAGAATTTGGGCATCTGAATCTTTTTCAACTGTAAATTTTATAAAATATATAAATACAGGTCAGATATTTCTGATGAAAAACTATTATTCAATGTGAGATAAAGTACAAAATACRCAATGGGTTTCAAATGTCTAGAATGAAATCACTTGTATATCTCAATAATTTTTTAAAATAATTTTTTTAGTTATCGATAAACAWTTATTTATCTATTTATCTGTTTATTTATTTATTTATATGTGGTGCTGAGAAACCCAGTGCCTCACACATGCCAGGCAAGTGCACTACATCTGAGCCACAGCCTCAGCCCCATCAATAATTTTTGTATTGATTAAATGTTGAGTAACATCCTAATCTTTTCATCTTCAGTCTAATTAATTATTTAAATTTTACATTTCTCTTCTCTTTTTCATTAACTGTCACTTATAAAAACTTACTCCATTCTTCCAACCAGGCCAGAATGTGGGTAAGGGTTTTTTCTCTGACTTCAATACCCTTATTAAAATTTGGGGCTGGGCAGGGCTGGGGTTGCGGCTCAGCGGTAGAGCATTTGCCTCTCATGTGTGAGACCCTGGGTTCGATCCTCAGCACCGCATAAAAATAAACAAAATAAAGGTATTGTGCCCATGTATAACTAAAAAAAAATTTTTTTTAATTGGGGGCTGGGGTTGTGGCTCAGTGGTAGAGTGCTCACCTCRCATATGGAGGGCACTGGGTTTGAACCTCAGCACATTAAAGTAAAGGTATTGTGTCCATGTACAACGAAAACAAAATTTTAAAAAATTATTAAAATTTACTCCACGTATCTCTTTTTACTGTTTATATTATAGTTTATAGGAAATTTAATGTTACGTATAGTTAACATTAAATTTCTTCTCAATAGTGTTATTAGTGTATATGATTAACATTAGAAAAAGTAGTCATATCAGTTCATACTTGCATGTCAAAGTGTAAGTATCCCTGTTGTTTCACATTTCTTCCAACACATGATATTATTAGATTTAAAAAGKTTTTTTTTGAGCCAGAYGCAATGATGCACTACTGTAATCCCAGCGCCTCAGGAAGCTGAGGCAGGAGTATCAAAAATTCAAAGCCAGCCTTAGCAAAAAGTGAGTCACTAAGCAACTCGGTGAGACCCTGTCTCTAAATAAAATATAAAAAGGGCTGGGGGTGTGGTTCAGTGGTCAAGGGCCCCCGAGTTCAATCCCCTGTACAAAAAAAAAAAAAAAAGTTTTTTGGCCAAGCTGTTGGATGTGTTATGGTATCTAATTGTAGATTTGATTTTAATTTCTATGATAACTCATGAAATATTAAGAAATGTTACTTATTTTGTGAAAATAAGGTTTTGTATATTAAACCCACTTTCCTATAGTTGATTTGTTGACACATTAATTCATTTCTTTTTATAGATAAATGATAGTGCATCTCAGCTTGCTTAAAAGCTAGGAGATCACTTTGAATTCTGTTTTCTAACTACAGAAAGATATAAATAAACTGGTTTTCAAGCATGGAGCCAGCCCTAATGATAATAGTACACCATTAAAAAGAACTAAGGCAATGAATTCCATTTCCAATGGAAAAAAAGAACTGTGCAAACAAGTTAAAAACTTTTTGTGTCAATGTTATAAAATGTAGCTTTTAATAAAACCTTGACCCAAATGCCAGTAACTTCTTATGAAGAATTTGGGAGGAGAGAAGAATTATTTCATTTAGGAAAAATAACCACTACACAATTTCTGTGTACCAGAGCAATAACAGGATCTAGGGCTGGGGTTGTGGCTCAGTGGCAGAGTTCTTTGCCTAGCACATGTGAGGTATTGGGTTCAATCCTCAGCACCACATAAAAATAAACAAAGTAAAAATATGAAAAATACAATAATATTAAAAAAAAAGAACTAGGGCTGGGGATGTGGCTCAAGCTGGAGCACGCTCACCTGGCATGCGCTGGGTGCTGGGTTCAATCCTCAACACCACATAGAAATAAAATAAAGATATTGTGTCCACCTAAAACTAAAAAATAAATATTAAAAAATATCTAAATACAATTATATTTTAAACACCCAGATAAGACTTTACATAAAAATACCATCCTACTTTTCTCCCTTGTTTCTAAAATATCACATACTTTCCTCAACATCTTCAGCCATCCAGTAATTTTTAGGAAACTTTTGTTCATGATCTTAATTTGTAATCCCTGGCTCTTTGGGGCTCAGTGATAAAAGTTCAAAACCACCAAAAGTGATGGTTCACTTGAAGTTAAACATGAGAGATTGTTTCAGTTAGTCTTAGGAAGAAAGCAGTGCTGCATCAACTGGCTCCATGCAGAAGGAGCACCTGAAGAATCTCATCAAGCAGTCATCTGTACAGTCCAGGTGATAGATGTGCATGTATGACAGAAATCAAATTGGATTCTCATAAACAAAGTTTGTGGTACAGATCACACACTCCTGAATCTTTTTTCTGATCTATCTCTTCCTGGGTCATATACTGCATTAGGCAGATGCTGTGTAAGGCCTACTCTTGTGTGTGGGGCGGGGGACTCAATCTTATTTATTTTACAGTAGAATGCATTTTGACATATTGTACCCAAATGGAGCACAACATCTCATTCCTCTGGCTGTCCATGGTGCAGAGTCACTCCAGTAGTGTAATCATACATGTATATAGGGTAATAATGTCTGTCTCGTTCTACTGTCCTTCCCATCTCCACAACCCTACCCTTCCTTCACTCCCTTCTACACAAACCAAAGTTCCTTCATTCTTCCCTATCTCCCCGCCCACTATGGATCAGCATCCACTTATCAAAGAAAACATTCAGCTTTTGGTTTGGCGAGATTGGCTTATTTCTCTAGTTCCATCCATTTACCTGCAAATGCCATCATTTCATTCTTCTTTAATGCTAAGTAGCAGTCCATTGTGTACATGTACCACATTTTCTTTATCCATTCATCTATTTTGAAGGGCATCTAAGTTGGTTCCATAGTTTAGCTATTGTGAATTGAGCTGCTATAAACATTAATGTGGCTACATCACTGTAGTATGCTGACTTTAAGTCCTTTGGGTATGAATCAAAGAGTGGGATAGCTGGGTCAAATGTTGGATCCATTCCAAGTTTTCTGAGGTATCTTCATACTGCTTTTCATAGTGGTGGTGCCAATTTACAATCCCACCAACAATATATGAGTGTATTTTTCCCCCACCTCCCTCCTTGCCAACAGTAAGGCTATTCTTTAAGATATCCTGATTTGTTCTTCAATCAGCTGAGTTGCTAGGTGAGTCTGGCTAGGTGTTAGATGATAAATTAGAACCAGAACTTGTTCCTGACGTGGAAGCATCAGCTTCTGATCTGACTCCCTCCCAATACCAAAGCTAGAGTGCTCAAATTGAGACTTGTGAAACAGGGAATTGTTATCCTAGATGGGGATTTGAGGCAGTTCCTCATATTTTGAGGTTGGGGCATGCAATCTGTGCACTATTCTGACAGTCTTCTCTTTTTATTTTTCTGTTGGGTTATTTTTTTCTTTGATTCACAGGAATTCTTTATATATCCTGTGTTTTGGTATATTCTCTATTGCTATAACCAAATATCTAAGACTGGATTTTTTTTAAGAGAGAGAGAGAGAGAGAGAGAATTTTTTTAATATTTATTTTTTAGTTCTCGGCGGACACAACATCTTTGTTGGTATGTGGTGCTGAGGATCGAACCCGGGCCGCACGCATGCCAGGCGAGCCCGCTATCCCTTGAGCCACATCCCCAGCCCCAAGACTGGATGTTTTAAAAAGAAAATAGGTTTATTTAGCTCAAAGCTTTGGAGATTCAAGAGCATGGTGACAGTGAGTGAGAGCTTTGTGGCCCCATCACAACATGGTAGATAGCTTCATGGTGGGAGCTGTGCAAAAGGGCTCACAGGAAGCCATCCAGGACAGTGGCATACACTTGTAATCCCAGCGACTCAGGAGGCTGAGGCATGAGGATTGCAAGTTTGACACCAGCCTCAGCAACTTAGCGAGGTCCTAAGCAATTTAGTGAGACCCTGTCTCAAAACTAAAAATAAACAAATAGGGCTGGATCTTTGACTCAGTGGTTAAGCCCCTGCGTTCAATCCCTAGTACCAAAAAGAAAAAAAATAAAGTGGGGGTGGGGGCTAGGAATGTGGCTCAGGGGGTCCCTGCATTAAATCCCCAGTACCAAAAAAAAAAAAAAAAAGGCCAGGAAGTCAGAAGAATATAGAGGCCAGACTAAGACTTAACAATCAGGAAGTACTAACTGGGGTCTCTAGAAAAATATATGAATCCCTTTTAAGGGTGTGCCCCAAAGATCTAATTATTTTCCACTAGGCTCTACTTCCTAAAGATTCTATCATTCTATCATGCGGCATGGTATCACAAGCCTGTAATTCCGGCAACTCAAGAGGCTGAAACAGAAGGATTGCAAGTTCAAGGCCAGCCTCGGCAACTTAGCCAGGGCCTAAACACCTTAGTGAGACCTTGTATCTGAAGAAAAAAGTTAAAAGAACTGGGGATGTAGCTCA